GGAGGAGGGGTGTGTCTCCCCTTTGGGGGTCTTGAGGGGTGTAGGTCTGTCTCTGTGGTGGTTGTTGGGTTCCCAGGGGGCGTGGGGGTGGTATCTGGAACCGAGCCCACACTGAGGTGTCCCTAAGGCAGGTGCCTCTTTCTGGAGGGTCCCAAAGTCATCCCTGGGGGCGAGGAGGCTCTCTGTGGTGGGCGTTGGACCTCCCCAGGAGGGTGACTCCATGTGGGGGTATTTCTCTAAGGGGTGTTGGGGATGGGTCTGTGGGGGGAAGGTTGTTCCAGTCATGCCTGTAGTTCAGGGCAGGGTTTCCTCGTTGGCCAGGAGCGAGTTAAAAGCCCATTTAATGACCAGGACCGCTCTCACTGTCTCTGTTGCAGGTTATGTGGCTTTTCTACAGCAGCTGCAATGGGTTCTGTGCTTTCCCTCTCTGTTAACAACACTGCCTCAAGGCAGAGGAAGAAGGCTGAGGATGATGACAATGACTTACTCGATAGCCGAGACCGTGTGGAAGACATTGCCAAGTTTCCATACGTTGAATTCACGGGTCAGGACAGCATCACCTGTCCCACTTGCCAAGGCACCGGCTGCATTCCCACAGGTGACTGCTCCTCTAGGGTTTAAACACAAAAAGAAAACGTCGCTTATTTACGTGAGCGGCCTCGCACGCCTGTGGAATCGGTGAACGTGTTTCTTTTGCTTTCCAGAGCAGGTCAACGAGTTGGTGGCTCTGATACCCTACAGTGACCAACGGCTTCGTCCACAGAGAACGTAAGTGCATAATAAGAGGGTAATTGCATCTTTGCAAAGAGCAAACAGGGCTCTTCAGTCATTTACTGCCACAACTAAATGCTTCACCCGGTCTGCAGCCTCTCCTCCGTCTGGGGGTTTGTTTTCATCCAAGTATGCCAATAAATACAATTTAAAGTGTAACTTTAAATCCTTCCTGTGAAATCCCACTGTGGGGTGAACGTGGAAACAATGATCCTACTCACACGCTTCATCCCCGCGCCCTTTACTGAAGCTTTTAGAAAGAAACTGCCTTACCAGCAGCAAAAATACTTCATTGTGGAAACACTACGGGGGCAAAAATGATTCTTTGGTTACTCATTACCAAAAAATAAACTGTTTAAAGGGCGCCGGTTTTGAGCAATTTCAGGTATCGAAAACGTTAGAGCAGCGCTTCTGTGTAAAGAACAAGGACCCGTTGTTTGCTGCCTAGGTCGGGTTTCAGATATGAGGTCTCTTGCAGCTGCAGATGCTGTCTTAGGGCGAAGGAGGTGACCCCTTCCCTCTCTTCCAGGAAGCTCTATGTCCTGCTGTCGGTGCTGCTCTGCCTGCTGATATCGGGGCTGGTGGTTTTCTTCCTGTTCCCACACTCTGTCCTGGTGGATGACGACGGTATTAAAGTGGTTCAGGTTTGGTTTGACAAGAAGAACTCCGTCGTCATTCTCGCCATCACGGTAAAGTGCATCTGTGTTCCCAAAGGAATCAATTCAGGGCTGAGCTGCCAGGAAGGTCACCGCTACTCATGTCTCCCCCTCCTTTCTCCATCCAGGCCACCTTACGGATCAGGAACTCCAACTTCTACTCGGTGACGGTGACCAGCCTGACCAGTCAGGTGCAGTACATGAACACTGTGGTGGGCACCCAGCAGATCACCAATGTCTCCAGCATCCAGCCGCTGAGCGACAAACTGGTATTTGTCTTCCATTGCGCTTGGAATATAAGCATCACCAAATCAAGTATGAAACCTGTGCGCTGCTGCCAGTTGACTTGAGGAAGGTCTAGCTATACCTTAAAGCTTTGGTTGGCAAAACGCTCTCGTGGCTAGAGCAGCCTGTGCTTTATGCACGCCAGCTGAAAGGCAACAGCAAGTAGGAAAGGCTCTGAAAGGGGTGGATTTAAGCGAGTCCTCAAGCTGCGTGCAAATATTTCTTTTTTCTTTTATCTTTTACAGGTGAATTTCACTGTGAAGGCGGAGCTGGGTGGACCCTTCTCCTATGTGTAGTAAGGATCTACTTCTCTTTGGATATAGCTGGGGAAGAGGGTGGGTTGAAGTAAGCTGCTTTAATTAGAATTTGCTCTGGAAATGACTTGTTTTCTGCTAACTTCCTGGAAAGTAACTGTTTGCTAGAAATGACTTGAAAGGCCACTTTTTCGGGATGTTGTGACATGGGTTTTTTTGCTGGTTTTTCTTTTTTTGGACTGTGTCTTGAGTTGAGTTAGCACCACAGGGAAAATACCATCAGAAGATACCAAGAAACGCGAGTGCTTCTGCAACCCTGCTTAGCCCGTGCTGCTGACCTATTTCTTTGTTTTGGTCTCTTCCAGTTTCTTTTGCACGTTTCCCAAGGTGAAGGTACATAACATAGTGATCTTCATGAGGTAGGTGGTTCTCTGCTCGCCTCCTGACTCAAAAGGGAATTGCTGCCGCAGCAAATCTAGGGTACACGAAGAAAATCCCGCTTGGCAAGCACCCCAGCCTGGTTCACTGTGTCAGCTTTTAATCCAGGCCGGTTGCCACAGTTGGGTGAAATGTAAGATAGAAAGGAGAAGACACCAGATTGCTCCACGCTGAGCTTTCACGTGAGGGAGGCTGCACTCGCCAGCTCTGCATATCCCCACTCGCTGCAGCGAGCGATCTTGAGCAAAAATCTGAGAGGCTCTGCAACTTTTGAGGGGGAAGAGGAGTTATGTGATGAATGTAAAACCTGCTGCGTGGGGTTTTGTCTTTTTTCTTTTTAATTTTATTTTGATAAAGGGATTGCTGTCGCAGGTCCTGTCCCCACTAAACTGCTCTCCCCTCTCCCAGGACATCAGTGAAGCTCTCGTACATCGGCCACATGACTCAGAGCGCTTTGGAAACGTACCACTACGTGGACTGCAGTACCAACTCCACGGCTGCCCAGGACCTGCTGCCTCTGCCGTCCTCCTCGACGTGAGGCATGGCCGAAGCCCTGAGGAGGCAGCCGGTCTTGCCTGTGGACGGACAGTTGTGCAGATGGATTTCTAGAAGGGACCAGGAACTTTTCAAGGGGAAGCAAAGAGATCACGAGTGACTTTGGTGTTTGAAAGCTCTGGGTCCCTTCCGTGCTTTCCCACGTGCGGCTGGGCTGCACTACTGACCTCTCCACGGAACTTGCTTGGGGTGTTGCTCGCGTGCAAGCACACAGATCCCTTCCCAAAACCAGGGTCCAGCTGAGCCTGCCTTCCTCCTCAGTTCCAACAAATTGCCTTTTGGTAGGGAAACTGAATTCCCAAACTTCGTGCTTTGGGGTCCAAAGATCCCAAAGATTTAGACTTTTGCCACCGTTCTGAAGCTTAGCACAGCGTCAGGTCCTGAAGGTAAACTAATCAGTTCTGTGCAATTAATTTATTCCACTTTTGTTCAATGGCAGTGTGTCGCTGGCTTGTTTCAAAGCAGGGCTTGATTAAAAAGGGATAGTTTTTAGTGAGGAATGTGCAGATAAGGCTCCCACCTCTGTAACTTGCACTACTCGGAGGCAGAGGAATTGAAACCTTCGACACACGCTTGCTCTCTTGCGCAGATTTTGTTTGCTGGCAGATGAGGCCACCTACAGCAAACTGATACCAAAACAGCGCGGTCTTAATGAAGGCAGCCTCAGTGATTGCCGTGCTGCTGGGGACCTGTGAAGGGTCTGTGTGGATTAGACCTTCCTCCTCCTCCGTGCACGGCCCTGGACCTTCCTCCTCCTCCGCACACGGGCCTGGACCTTCCTCTCCCCACGTTCAGCAGCTGCGGGGTCTCTGGGGTTTGAAACCAGGGAACTTGGAGCTCAGTGTTGCTTTGTGCTTGTGCCCGCCGTAAACAAGCATGGATTTAAACTGATTTTGTGGGAGTTTGGGGTTTCAGAGGCTTCCCTCCCAGGAGCCGGCTGTTCCCGACAGTTACCAACTGCCTTCTTAAAGCAAATAAATGCAAAAGCTCAGCCTGCTGCAGTTCTCGCTGCGGACTTGTGCCGTTTGCAGCTCGGAGGGTTTCATCCTGCTTCTGCCCTTTGTAGTTTTTCTGGAACTCGAGCGCTACAGCTGCCCTCGTCTCCTCCCTGCCTGCACCGACACCTTTCTCTGGCTGCCTGTTGGACAGGAGGGTGTGTGAAATAAAAAAACCACTTTATTTTTAAGAAGGGGCATTTCTGCCTAGCGGGGTTTCTAGAAGAGAGTTCTACTTATTAAAGCCCAGTGGGGGGGTGTTATGCAGCGTCCTCTGAAGAAAAGCTCTGGCTTTCTCCTGCAGAAATCAAACTTTGTCCTAGGGCTCACACTCTGCGCTGTGACTGGTATCGTGCCCAGAAGTACCTGTTCTCTTGCTGATGATTTTTGGGGAACAGGGGCAAAGAAATTCAATGGGGGAGTAGCAATGCACCTCCCTGCCCACCTGGGGCGGTTGGGACCGGTGACCGGAGTCACCCCCCCAACCTCAGTCCTTGTCACGCTGCAGGGTCCCTGACAATCTCGGTCACGAGTTTTTTGCCCGACTTCCGTAAACCCACCGATTTATGATGAGTTGAACTTTCTTTTTTAAGGCAGATGAGGAAGTCACAAACTTTGCTCTTTATCCCTCTCCTTTCCTGAGCTTCTTCCCTCCCGGCAGCCCGGCAGGGCTCAGTCCTGGCTGATTTGGGGTTCCCCTTGCAGGGTGATGGAGCCTCCTGCTCCCCAACATTTCCTCTTCCCACCTACGTTGTCGTCTTTGGCTCTCCTGCTCCTCATGGCCCCTGCTGCAGGGGGTTGCTTTCACCTGGGTGATTCGGGGGGGGCACCCCCTGGGTGCCTGCAGCAGGACCCCTAAACCTGAACAGGGGAAGGGCTTTGCCCCGAATTACTTGTGCGGCAGCGGTGAGCCAGAGCGCTGAGAATTAGGGCTGCCCTCTTGGTCGTGTGGCAAAGCACTTGGCCTTTTAAAGGGCATTTTATTTTGAAAATCCTCCCTAATCCTCCAATCCTTCTTAATGAATTTCTTCTGCCAATGTTTTTGAAAGATCCCAGGCTGCCTCAGGTGCTTTAGCAGGAGCGGTTGCTGCTGCCCCTGCCAGCTGTGAGTGTTTAAAATTGAGATGAGGGCCTCAAAGTAGCTTTTTTTTTTTAAAAAAGGCTTTTTTTTTTTTTTTTAATCCTTTAAAGTTGTAACTTC